TGATAGAGGTATCTTAGTCAGGAAGCAATTATTGCAAATTAGCAGAAAAAATGGGAGATTGTAAACTCTGTGGCACCAAATCGAAGGTCAAATCGTTGGTGAATAAAAAGGAACTGCATAGTTGGAGCAACTGCTTTGTAGATGGATGTGCACTCGATCCCCACAGAATCTGGTCTTTCTGGGCTACATGAATGCCGACTGCACTTACCTTACCAAACAGGCTGGAGAGCAACTGCGTTTGAGAACAGACGATCAGTATGCATGGAGCATTACAGGTGATATGGACACGACTGTATCCGACACGAGCTGTGCCTACGACAGGTTCGTTGTTCTGTGATCTAACTGCGCGAAATTCACCGGCATAAATCACACTCGTTTCTCTCTCCATGTTTGGCCTTTTCAGTGCATATGACTACTTCAACGCAATTAATTTTTCAGTTTATCATTTGATGAATTTGTCAAACTTGCCTTAACTCACATACCGTAGGCTTATATCGTTAATTACATAAACTACTGAATGATAACAAATCCCATTCAAACAAAATGAACTTGTAAAAGGGTCTGATGCTTTCTTTTGCTATTCAGTGTTATATTCGCAGATGTCTTTATTCTTCTGCTGTCTTGTAATAAAATCGCGTTTTGCTGTACCAAAATTGAGCCAAAGACTGAGATATAAAAAGAACAATTTTGTGGAGTGCATCGTCGAGGATGCTGTGCCCCTGCTCGTCTCTCTAACAATTCATCCCCGTACTTTGAAACCTTTAGTTGCTTAGTAGGGGATGGTGTATGCGTTGGCCGTTTAGCACCTTTGTAACCTTAAATTCGCTGCTGCAGTAACAACTTACAGTCAACTTGCAGTTTTTAAGATACTGGATTTCGTTGCGGCACCAGGAACAGATGAGACAGAAAAGGGTATTTTAGGGTGTTTCCTGTTTACACCTCCTCGCAGGTAAGTAAAATGCCTCCTACAGGAAGGACGTTGATGTGGAGAATGGCGTTTCATTTCTCAGCAATCGTGTGTTAACAATCTTGAGTGTGTGTGTTTCAACAATGTCACGGGGTACTCGGCGCATGGTGCTTAGATAGAAGACTCCACCCTGCACATAGGCTGTTACGACCACTAAATAATAGGTGGCCCTAGGTTAACTAATCCAACTAAGCATTGTCAAAGGAGTGATAGCCAATGTCAGAATCGATGGCTTTCGCAAAGCAAGAAAAGTGAAATCGAGAAACGCAATCTACATCATGATGCTTATACAGCAGACAATTGTCTAGACTATCTGCTTACTTATTTGGGACGGCCAAGTAGATCTGTATACCTTAGCAAACGCAACATATTTTCATTCAACCGCCTTTTCTTTCACACGATTGATGGCTCCGTGTCCTTTCCACTTTTCCTTTTGTCAATACTAATTTAGGTATCCGTCTTGGTGGAAAGACTTTGCAGATGCAATCGCTTGCTGCAACTGATCTTATGCCAATACCGGTGCAGCACACGCCCTTTAAATTGCAGCAAACCTTCTAAATTCATTGTCCACTGATGTTCCAGAATAGACAACAACTCATTTCCACCACAGTGGCATGATTCCGCGCAGACCACTTTGAAGAAGAATGCTTAAGATGTGTTTCGGTTGTCAGCCGAGGCTCCTATGAGCAAGGCAGGTTAATTGAAAATGCTCGACACTAAACCTGAGTACTTCAAATTGAGTGCTTGCGCCATCCTACCCACTAAGGCCATTCTTGGTAATTTTTTTTCAGTTTGCATGATAGATCTCTAATCTTTCGTTGAATTGCAAACCATATTCTGTGTTTGCCAAATCTAATAATCACATCTTGAATGTACTAGTTCATTACACTTCGGCTGTCCAAGCTTTAGGCTCTCTTTCATTATAGGATGTTTTTTAAACAAATAAGAAGCTCTGTAGCGCCTCGCAGTTTCTTTGGACGATTGGAGACTGTACCATTAACGTGCTGAAAAGATGGGTGCTACCAGCCTGGCCCCCAGGCCCCTCCGCTCAGTGGGTTTACAAAAGCCGAGCCTTCAGTGTTCACGAAACCGCACCAACGAACAATGCACTAAAATACTGGGAAAAATTAGGCTATTTTCGATATGAGGAAATAAATAAATATGGTGTTGTTTTGAGAACTATGAAGAGGAATCGCTGCTTGCTCAAGCAAGAATTTAATGCGATGTGACTCGCAGGTTCACAGCCGAAGGCTCTAAAATAGCCAGACGAATTCCTACTGTGCGTCCTTTCAACATTCAATCTGCCTACAAGTTGGACTTACAGAAGGTTGGCTGCCAAGTTGTCTTTCGTCTTAACGTCTAATGCAAGCCTGTTTGCCCAAAAGTAGTGTCAATTTTATGCCTTGTTGATGCTGATGCATTCGCAATGGTTTCATGTGTGGACTCATTTGAACCACGGACTGTTCATTTTACTAAAAAGACATGTGACGTTAATAATAATTTTATTTTAGGCCAAAGATGGCATTAATTGAATTGCTGTGACGCCTGTGATACTACGTATTATTTCTACACACACACGCACACTAATTTCTATGCTTTGATTTGATAGACACACAACTTTCCTGTCACCCAAGTCTGTCCACAACATTTTTCGTTTTGTTATATCTTCTTCTTGCAATTCTAAATGTAATCCTTTATCCTGGAACATGCTGTGTGCAGCTCTCGGGGTCCTTGGAGTCTTCGATAAGGTCCATTTATGTAAAAGATAACGCACACCTGACATACAGTAGAGCAGGAGGGCGAATGGGCATAGTCAAAGGTGAGCTTCGCCAGGTAGTAGCACAAAGTGAGGAGAAGGAGGAATTTGAGGAGTTTAATATTTGAGTGAAGAGGCATCTGCAGTGTTTTTTTGCCAAGAACTCACCTGTCCTGTACTTTTTCCATTATGTTTTAGCTTAGCCTGTGATTTCTTAAGCAAACAAAGAGTTGTTACTCCTCTCATGAGTGCACAAGTGCAGCATAAATGATCTGTAGGCAGAATTATTATGAGCGGATAACCTCGCTAGAGAGAGGGTGGCCCACATTTGTGAGAGGTGCGAATAATGCATAAGCAGTTTGCAGTTGAGGCAATGTCTCGCTACTTTCTGTAATACCTGAAAGACATCTGTCTGTGTGCAGGTGAGCAAGATATATTTTCGGGTAGTCTTTTAAGCGGAGATCTAATCACAGAGAGAATCGCTGCATTCCCCTTTTAAAATTTTAATGACAATTTACTGGCGTGAGTTACTTTGGCGATAATCTAACATTAAGGTGTGTGGAGAATGACCTAGCAATCAGATTAGTGATAAGGTCGTGAAACGTAAACGAAACAACGGTATATTTTCGTGACCTCCTTCGCTTTTTTTCTTCATGCTTACCCTGACCATTTAGCAAGTTGCTCAAATTTGCTGCACTTTACAGGCAGACATTTGGTCTCTCTGCACCCTCTCTCACGCAAAATTGAATTTATCAGTTAGAATCGTACCTTGCCTTATATACCGACGCATCAACTGGGTGAGTTAAAATAGATAATCCACAAGTATTAGCCAACGCGATTAGGTCGCTTAAGTGCTCTAGTTTTACCGCGATAGGCTTGATTGAATGATTGCTTATCCTTGTCAGTCTATGCAAGTTAGGGTGAACGAGTTAAACACCTGCCCATTCTCTTTATGCTGATATGCATCAAATTGCACACGAGTCATTCTTACAAGCCAGATATTCTGAAAAGTGAGTAGACTGATCGCTGTGGAGACCCGAATCCAATAAACGAAATTTATTATTCAACAAATGCTACAATTTGTTGAATGTTTTCGTATGTAAGAACACCAGAGTCGAGCATTAAGCGGCATCCTACTGCTTAATCCTCCATATTCCTTAGCCACACCGAAAGCAATAACATAACAAGACATAATTGACATGCCATCTTTGGACGGGAAAGGCTTCACACCTGCAGATCGTTAGGCATTTGTAAGAATATTCCCCACGCACATCAGCCTATGAGCTTCCATGTTCTTAACCTACAAGGCGTCTTCCTTACAATGTGGCGTAATGGGTTATGTGGGCGATTCCACATTCAACTTACACACTTGTTAGCACAAAGTTGAACAGGCCATAAGTGGAACAACTGTCCTAATGTTTTTTGTAGGTACGTTATATTTTTTACACATTCATCAGTGTTAGCTCAAAAATTGAAGAAGTGTAAAGATAGAGAGAACTGTGAAGTATACGTAAACTCAAGGGCTGAATTACTGATGCCACGAACTATGTACACAGGACACTGATTTGCAAGCAATTTATTAAGCATTGAAAGCCATTCTACAGCAAGTATAAGTTGATGGGAGGCCAAGAATTGGAAAGCATGCTAATTAGGATGGAAGTTAGAAACGACCGCTGTAGGGATTAGACATTACAGATGAAAGGCTGCTTTTCAGCTGTCTAAGCTATCAAATTCGCTACCAGTGTGCTATTTCCTTGTGCTAGCCTGTGCCATCAAGCACAGGTTCTTCGCCTTCCCTGTCTGCGGCAGACCAATTTAAGAAATCTGGACCGATCTCGCATGTGTGACGTCGTAGTTGCAGGCAGCGAATGACGGTTAGTAGAGAGTTCTGACTTGTCTGCAATGCATGCAGATTTTGTTGAGCTACATGCTTAAATGCCATGAATGGAGGCTTAAATCATTGTAACAAAGATCCCGTCAGTAAGAACTGGTAAGATCCACTTAGACAATATGCATAAAAAAATGATGCCTACAGCTATCGCATGTCTTTAGTCTTGCTCTCAGTACTGATTTTCCTT